TGTCCTCAGTAGCATCGTCGACGTGATCGAGGTGCTCACGCTTACCACGCCTCGCGAGGCGCTGCCGTTTGTGACTTCTTGGCGGGCAGCACTGCCAGCGACATTGGACGCGACCCGCTCGTGCCTCTACCCCGTCATCGAGATGCTCTACCGCCGGTTTCAAAGCAAGGACCTCGACCTTGTCGTGCACCTGGCGGGTCCGTGCTTGACAGCGTTGCTACAAGGCGGCGCGCTAACCCCGGTGCCCGTCTTGAACGATTTTGTCTTGACGGCCATTGACGTTGACGCGGACCACTGTGACGAGTGTGCCGCGTTTGATGATTTTCTGCTCGATGGACACTGCATTGAGTTTCGGTGCGCGAACGACGGCCCGTGCGAAGCACTCGACGATCTCGTGAAGGCCTACCCCCAAGAGCTCCTGCTGGACCAAGTGGACGGGAGCGACGACTCGGCGAGCGACGTTGAAGACGCTGAAGACGAGCGGCCGACCAACTCTTTTATTTGGAAGCGAGCGCAACCTGGTGGTGTGACCTATGACGATCTTATCGCGTATCTGAACCGCCGGGCACAACTGAAAGAAGATACTGAGCGCGTCGCAGTGCTCGACGAGGTCCTCGCCCTCCATGCGGCCGTCACGGACGACGACGAGCCTGCACCAAAGCGGCCACATCATGAAACGTAGTCGACGCCAATGCTATTTGTCTGCATGCATAAATGTAGTACGAAATTTCGTTTGATTGAATCGAGGGGTTTGCCAAATCTTACTGAGCTCCAAACGAGTGCAACTACGTACTGAGCTATGTGCCGAACTTTGTACCGAGCTGGTGGATTTGTCCGGAATTGACGCGGCGCAAACGAAAGCACTTGCGGCTCGCACGCACCACGTGAGACGCCCCTTCAATGCTGCTCAATGGCGCTGTAGTGGGTGTTTGGCGCGCGTACGAAGGTGAAACGACCTTTTCACGAAGGGCGTATCTTGCGAGCAGTGGTCGAGCTAGCATTCTAGATCTCGACTCCTACCAAGCAACCCACCTCACCTCACCCGAGGTCCTGGCAGGAATCAAGGCATAGCGCTAATACCCCTGAGCAAGCTCGCCATTGTGAAATATGTAGTTGTTGAATCTTCACGTCCCCGCCTCCCAATGCAGGTAGTACTTGTACCATCGAACGACCGGATCGCGATGAGAACCGTATGGGTTAGACAAGTCAACGGGCGCACCACGTGGCACAGGGCGAGGAAGGTATCGTATCTAAAACGGCGCACACGAGCTGCAACATAGTGCTTATTGGCACTTTGCAATTGTACCTATATGCAAATACGACTAGTCGGTGCGACGGAATCTCTACTCGCGTATTGGACGCTCAGCTCGTTATGTTGCGTGCGGAAGCGTACCACCACAAGCCCATGCTGTCACCGATCCAGTCAACACTGTCACCGATCTGAAAAATACTAGTACCAAATGCCAACTGTGGCGTCGCTCGGTGCAGTTGTGCGACCCGAGGTGTCTCTTTCGGTTTCGAGTACATGCATCAAGAACATTTGTCATCGTCCCACCATCTCGAAGGGCTATAAAACGATCGCGGATTGTGAATATATCGTGGCTTTGTTCTACTGTTCTGAGTTTCTGATCTATCATCTCGGTGCTTGAACGTCGTGCGGCATGGATCTAGAATAGCTGTCGGTGTTTTGTTTACATATCGGAGGCTATTTTCACCTCACTGATTTGTCCGTCCGCCATCTCTGCATACTCCCAGAAAGGACCGACCTCGCCGAACGCTCGCGACGCCTTGCAACCCACAGCGTCCTGCGAGGGGGATGGGGCCCTCTCTGGGGCCCTCTTAAAGTGCCACGAAATCTGGTTCGATTGGAATCTAGTGTCTTGTAACTGGCATTATAACCGTAACTGCCTGAGGTCGCCAGAGTCGTTACTCGTGCATCTCGCGCACGCTCAGCCAACTTCAAAAGGCGCACGTGACAAGTGATAGCGACCCTTGCGATAGCGTGCCGATGGTTCACCTCGATATTTTGACTACGGATTGCCCAATACTACTAGCACCGGTACTAAATGCCGACCGAACACAGGGGTAGCCATCTGGCAACGGAACGTCATTTGGTGGTACGCTCTGTCCATGATCTGCTTGACTAAGCGGCCATGTGCTCTGTCCAGCACCGATGGCCACATCTGCTCGCGATAACTCGCTTGAGAAACTCATCCAAGCGCTCGTATCTTGGAACTACGCGCTGGGTTTGGAGTCATCACACACCATATTGGACAAGGGTGTGGCCTAGGAGCAATCGGTGGCGACGGAGTAAACAAAGAGCAATGTATGGGAGGTTGAGACTCTCCGCGGGGTTACCACACGTCACTGGGTAGGTATTTCGATCCGATTCACATCCTCGCTGCCTTCTCGCCTCGCACCTAGGGCACGTCAAATTGCCGACCAACGTTCAAACGGCCTGTGGCTCACGAGGACGCGGGCCAGAGGTACTTACTAGTATTAGTTATTCATTTCTGACTCGGGTAGTGCTCTAAATCGTTAGGAGAAGTCTCGTTCGACACACAACACACTATTCGACTCTGATTAGTATCGTCTCTCTGTAACTTGCTTGTGAAAAAGCACGTCAAGGCGGTGATGGACACCCTGTCAAGCTCGTGGGACATACGCGCATATGACGACCGTGCATGATGCGTTCATACCAGCAGTATTACTCAAGGCGTATCAACCACCGCCGTCACGTCACTCATTTTGCAACCCGCCATGGCGACCACAAGCACCGCACCGCCGCTCTACACGGACCTCGAGGCCATCTTGAGCCGCTTCCGCCGCAAGCGCAGCAAACAAATCGCGTTCTTGCGACGGTACATCGACGTCCTCCAGAAGCGTGTCGGCCACCTCCAGTGGAGTCACTCGACACTTCTGGGCTGGGAGGACGTCTCGAAAGCGCTCGCAGAAGACACGCTGGACAGAGTCCGGGAAAATCGATCCCTGAAGCGCGAGGTTGCAGCTTCTCAGGGCCTTCGCACCCTCCTCGCGGCGTGGGTAAGTGCCCACGCATCCTCACCGCACGTACATACACTTTCTTTGCCTTGCATGCATCTCAAGGCAACGGTTGTAGACACGGACACCCGGGCACGATCCGTGGACAACCGCACGGCTCTTCAACGGTGCACCGGACGCGCGCAAGGTCGGGCTCGAGTGGATCTTGCAGCAGTGCTACCACAACACGTCGAGCGCGCTGGCCCACGTGTCGGCAGCGCTTCACAACGACGATGACGCGGTCCGCGTCGCCATGACGTTTGACGGCACTGCAATGAGTCTCACAGTCACATCCCAGTGGATCGAGCCGTACCCGATGCCGCATGTCGCCGACGCCACGTGGAGTGCGAGCCGGTCGTTCTTAGCAACGTGCTGCTCCAAGCAGACGAACTGCTCGACGCTGCGCACCGCCGTAAGCAGCTACGTCGAATACTTTCACGAAGACGTTGGCCCCCCGTGCCAGAAAATCATTGCCAATGCGCTCTACGGTCGATACGACACGCCCGACCGCACCGTGCTCATCAGTCGCTCAGTTCTCTCGGATGAGGCCCACCCTGTGCCGCAGGATACGTGGTGCACCGACTCACGTCAATGGTTTGAACTTTTGTTTTTCGATATTGGGTTTTACATGACGCTATTGGTTAGGATCGTTCTAGACCGCATGCATGCAAATGCGACGCGGGTACGGGTCTACGACTACAGCGGACACCCGATTTATCCCAGCGGCCAACTCGTGCCATTGACGGTTCTCGCCAAACTCAAGAGGTTTGAGACCACGTCGGACGACGCGGCGTACGCCTATTTGGCCGACCACTTTGATCGGCACCAACGCAAGGAGCAAGCAAGTTTCCGCCGCCACCTTGAAACGTGTTTGCAGCACTGTGGACACACTCTGGTGGCCACGCGTGCATTCAAACCCACCGTCAAGATCGAAGCGAATGCACAGACGCCAACCCATTGTACCTCTTGAAATGCATTGTGCCGTATGAAATCCGAGAGTTTTGCACAACATTGTCTATGATCCAGGTTGGTAAAGCCATTACGTTTATGCAGTCGGCAAACAGCCGTCGTGGCTTGACAGAGACAAATGCGGACACGAGGCCGGATACGAGGCCGACCGCAGTCCTGGTCGTGCAATTGTAGTAAAGCTTACCTCGATGCGACAAGGGCACTCTCTCGACCTTACCTAGCGAGAAGCAGGGACACCATGCGTGCGATTGCGCAATGGTGTACGAAACGAGCACAATGCAACGGTTTGCATAACGAGAAGGAGTAGCTTGCACCCAGCGACCCCTTCTTTCGCAAGCGGGGGGCGCAAGCGAGCTCATGCTTCCTTGGCTAGAGTTGCATTCGAGTAGCTATATGCGACTTCTTGGAGTAAACACTGGTCCAACGGCGTCATAAAGCGCATACTACCTCATCATCAAGAAAAATTTGCTTTGCGTTGCAAAGCCCAGCTGCCAAAGTGCACATGACCAAAGTGGACCAGGGCTCACGCATGTGCATGGCCCGCGCAAAACGATTCTTCACAAGCATACAGCCCACGATTATGCACCCAGCGCGACTGATAAGGAGGGCGCTTGGCACAAGGCTTGCCCCCCACGTCCCCCCCAAGTGCCTGGCACAAGACATCCGGGAGCGACGCATGTACTGAATGCAAGCCTGAGTCTCCACGCCTGGGATATTAGGCAGCATAGGGCAGTGCAGCGACGTGGACTTCTTCTGGACTGTCGCCTGCACCACAACTGCGGGCAAAGTCGGCTGGCACTGCGCTACATGTACTCGTACATTGCATGAAAGGCGCTGCCCACGACCACCTCCCACGGTGGACCACATGTCCCGAACGTCAACCTACAGACACTGTTGGACGATGATTCTTACTCACGAGGTAGAATCAGATGAGGCGCGCTTAGTAGCAACCAACGCACTAGCATGGGCGAGGTGTTAGTCCTCATCTTCTCTCTCGCAACGACAAACCATGCAGCTCGCATCCTCGCCACGGAAGCGCAAGGCGGCGACAATGCCCTTTGACACGACGTCGCTCAAGTGCAACGACAACTTTGTGCAGTGGAGCAGTCTCCAGACCATCAAGTCCAAGCGCGTGAAGGAGCTCGCGTACCTCAAGAAGCGAATTTACGAGCTCGAGCAGGACCTCGTGCGCGCCCAGCGCTGCCACTCGACCGTGCTGCCATGGGAAGAAGTCGCCAAGGCGCTCGCCGACGACACCCTCGACAAAGTCCGTGAGAACCGGACGCTCAAGTCGACCGTCGAGTACAACCGTCACAAATACGCCTTCTTGCGCGAGTGGGTCCACGGCATGACGCCGCCCAAGGTACATTCGTGCAGCATGGCATTGCCTTTTAACAATACAGCGCTCTCGTAGCGCCACGTCATTTCGACGTTTCAAGATTCGTGGCGGCACTCGCATATCTTTGACGGCGACGCGTCGATGCGGCAAGCGGGCTATGAGTGGCTTACGACACACGTCTACCACAACACGAGCCGGGAGATGGCGCGCGCGGCACCTTTTCCCGAGGCGGACGTTGACTTCGTGCACGCGGATATCACGTGCAACGACAACGTCATGCACGTCGCCGTCACGTCGCAGCTCCTGGTGCCGTACCCGCTTGAGGCAGCGGTGCAAGCGCTTTGGGTCGCGGACCGCACACTGCTCGGGTTTGTGTCAGAGGGCACTATTGAAGAGCGTGCCCCGATTGCAGATCATATTATCTACCATCGCGAAGAGATGGGCCCGGCGTCCGGTCACATTCGCGTTGCGGGCAACATGCTCTACGGCAAGTTCATTGCGTCACCCGACCGCGTCGTCCTCGTCAAGCGCTCGGTTCTAAAAGACGACGCGCATCCGCTCGACTCGGACGTCTGGACGTGCGACGTCAAGCAATGGTCGCCAATGGTTATCCAACTCGATAGACTGATACTTTGATAGGATCGTGGCCGACCGCGTGGACGCCAATGTGACGCGGTGTCGCATGTACGACGCCACGGGCCATCCATGCACGGAGCGGGGCTACGTGCCGATCCGCGAGCTCGCCAAGTGTTTTCGGCTGCAGGCGCGGGACGACGCCGAGGCCGCGGCACTTCTCCGGCTCCGCACGATCGACAGCCAGCAGCGCGAGCGTGTCCGGTTCGCCGAGCTCGTGCACCTGCTTCTCGAGCAACAGACGCTCACGGACGCCATGGCGGCGCTCGACGACTCAGCTTTCTAGTGCGTCTGGGTGGCTTTGTAATCGTTGTTACTATCGTGTACACATTCCGAAGCCAGCCATCGCGCGGGGCCGGTCGTGGTCGTACGTACGGCCGCCACGTTCGCAGTCACCACATGGCTGGCCAACTCATATTTCGGCGGTCACGGCACCGCACGACTTGGGTGGTGCGGTGCCAAACCTCGCACTGCCATCGATTTGTACAGGGATGCAATAGACACACACCATTACAGAGTCCACGCAACCCAAGTAGTAATCGCACGTGTGTATCCTGTGGCTGAATGGCAGTATGAATACTGTATAATGTGCTGGTGCGGTGCCAAGGAGCTAAGGCGGTGGCGGTTCCGACCCTTCTCGACAGAAGACTGTGGGTGGTTGCTGCGGGCGCACCAAGGGTTCTCGCATCGCGCCTTTCTGGCTACTCGTGGCCGCAACGCGCTCGCGAGTCCGTGAGCAAAGCCATCGAACGCGAACACATATCGCATTGTGCAGTGACTCACATATCCACGGTACCTGTTCCATGCTCACAGCCATGACGTAGTGCACAGTGTATTCTCATAGCGTGTCGTACGCGGTAGGTATACGTAGTACGTCCCATGCTGCGGTCCATCCACTGTCGGTGGCGGAGTGATCCGTGGGCTTCACCCTGCCATCTGGGTCCAGTGACACCTGCTTCGAAGCTCGAAGCGAAGTTGCGCTATACCGAACCCAAGCGGCAATTGGCCGCTCAGTTTTCAAAAGCGCCAAGTGCAACATGGTCATGATGCGGACCGACGACAATGGGCTCGTGGCCAAGCCCGACGCTGCTGCTGCGCTCGTCGTACACCAGTTCAAGTCCAAGCGGCTGCGCGAGATCGAGTACCTCAAGAAGCACATCTACGACCTCCAGGCGCGCGTGCGCAAGACCAAGCGCGTCCGCGTCACGCTCTTGCCATGGGAAGAAGTCGCAAAGGCCCTCGCCGACGACACGCTCGACAAGGTGCGCGAGAACCGGTCGCTCAAGCGCGAGCTGACGCATAACAAGCGGCTCGCGCGGCTGCTGCAGGACTGGATCCTCTCGCAGTCGCCGCAAACGGTACGCCATCGTCTCCTTTCTTCAAGCTATTTTCTCATGGGCATTAGCGGCAGCCCAACATCCACCTCGAGTCATGGCGCCACTCGCACATTTTCCAGGGCGACGAGGCAACGCGCAAGGTCGGGTACGAGTGGCTCGTCGCGCAGCTCTACCACAACACGGAGCGTGCGCTCATGCCACTCGCATTCCCGCATGGAAATGAATACTACCTCGAGACCGACATTGCCTTTGACGGACCGATCATTAGCCTCACGCAGCAGATGCAAGTGGTCTTGCCCTACTCGCTCGACGACGTGTCCCGCGCCGTTTGGATCGCGGCGCAGACGTTTATCCACTACATTCAGCGCAAGCCCGACCCGCTCGCCAAGCTGCTGCAAGTGAACCGCGACGTCGAGTACGTCCAGGAAGACATGGGCCCGAGTGCCAAGCGTATCGACAGCAAGCTCCTCTACGGCCGGTTCCACGAACCGAACCGCACGGCCATTGTGACGCGAGCTGTGCGCACCGACGACGCGTACCCGATCGACCCGTCGACGTGGACCACCGACATGAAGCAATGGTACGTTTTGCTACATGCGACATGTGTTTAGCGTTGGGACTAGGTTTGTGCTCGACAAGATTGACGACCAGTCGACGCGGTGCCGGTTCTACGACTACCTCGGGCACCCGTCGACGGCGTCGGGGTATGTGCCCATCCAAGACGTGGTTCGCATGTACCGGTACGAGCCGGTGAGCGACGCCGACGCGATAGCCTACTGCCGCAACCGCTTTCCGCACCACCAGCGCCGCGAACGCGCCATGTTTGCGATCCACCTCCAACGCGTGCTCGACAAAATCACGTCGTCGACGCCGAGTGCGTCACCGTGAGGCGTTTCACTCATAACTAATTTAAACAAACCTCGTGGACATTATTGTTGCGCTGCTTGGACTCGATTGCGCGTTGGTAGTACCGAAAACTACTCACCGCACCATTAAACCATGGTTTTGTTAGTAGGTGCAAGGGGATACCTCGGTAGGTGCTGGTGAACATGGATACTCGTCCTGCGACTGGTCGCGTTGAACTTGTCGGTGCGCCTCGGTGGACGCGGCTACTTGGTGTGCGGCTGCGAATGCGGGAATGCGTGCGAGATTCGAGGCTGTCTGTAGACAGTGTCCAACGAGAATAAAGCTGATCGGGGCTAGCTCGCTACCCACGAGTAGCCAAGGCGGTGAGCGACAAAAATCGAACCGCGGGCGCTTCTTCGTGCTCGTTCCATATTTGCCCGCAAGCGTGGCTTCAAGTCCCAGGTGGCATTTCTCTACATGTATTTCGCACCTCCTATGCTTATATAAAAAGGTAGCGTCCGTCTGCTAGCACTAGCGAAGGCTATGCGATGCAGCACCTTTGGCACTGAGGGTGTACTAGAATTCTAGTACTTTGCTGTTTCGGATGTGTCGGACTTGCTATTTTTGCGCCTTTCGGAAATTGCCGTTTGCGATCAAAACCGACCTACACGTCCACCAGTATACCATACAAAACGCTCCATGTACGGTAGCATACAGTCGACAAGTATGTATTTGGCGCGGCCTTCCCGCCACCTGGTTCATCTGGGTACCAACAGCCTCGGATGATTTGTGGCACTGGCTTGCCGCGTCTGGCTGCAATTGGCTTAATCAGTACCCTCCGACCCACGCCTTCGTGCCACGCAACCTGGTCGATCGATCTGAGAACAGCGCGATTGCCTTTGAAGCAAAAGTGACTGCGATCGTCGCTGTGTGCACGTGCTGTGCACGGCGCGCGCGCCCTCGTTATCGCTATACATGGGCCACGGTTTTGCTTGTTTGGCGCGATGGTACTATCTAAGCGAATTCCCGCAGCTGGCCGACCCGCACAGAAAGCAGTGTGTTCGACGGGCGTCGCCTATCTCGATTTCGCCGGGACGACCCATCATGGTGTCGGAGATCCGCAAGATCCGCAACATCAAGCGCGACGCGCTCAAGCCGTGCTTTGAGAACCCGCCGCCAATGCCCCACGTCAAGTGCAAGCGGCTGCGCGAGCTCCACTTGCTATCGCGCCATATCTACGAGCTCGAGATCAAGCTGCGGCGACTCCAAGGCCGGCGCTCGACCATGCTGCCGTGGAAAGAAGTGAGCTCGGCGCTCGCCGAAGACACACTCCGCAACGTGCGCGACAACCGCAGTCTCAAGGTCGAACTCGAGCACCACCGACGACTCGGCACGTATCTTCGCACATGGATCGACGGGCTCACGCCAATTCCGGTACAACGATCGCGCTGCATTCACTGACATCATGCACATGCTGCCAATGTAGCGGTCGCCACGGTCGTCCACCGACAGCTGGCAGCATTCGCAGCTCATCGCAGGCGACGCGACCGCGCGGCGCACCGCGTACGAGTGGATCGTCCGGCAAGCGTACTGCAGCACCGAAGCCGCTTTGGCCCACGTGTCCTTCCCGAGCCACGATTCCGATGGCATTGCTGTCGACGTCGAGTGGGTCGACGGTCTCTTGCACGTCAATGTCATGACGCAGCGCATTTTGCCGTACAGCCTCGAATTGGTTTCCCAGAGTCTCTGGGTCGCCGACAAGACGTTCGTGCAGTTTGCGCAGGGCCGGCCATTAAGTGTGTACCGGCACGAGCTCCACGTCGTGAGCGACGCACTCGAGTACGTCCAGGAAGAGATGGGGCCCGGGACCCGGCCAATATTCGACAATGTGCTCTACGGGCGGTTCAATGAGCCGACGCGGACAGTACTTGTCATGCGGTCGATTCTCAAGGACGAGCTTTTCCCTATTGACGCGACAACGTGGACCGTCGACACGAAACAATGGTCGTATCGTTCTGCAGGACAATAGTGATGCTGACAATGACAACTTGTGTAGGATGGTGGCCGACAAGCTCGACGAGTACCACACATTGTGCCGCACGTACTACTCGATCAAGCACCCGAGCACCGAGGCCGGCCACGTCCCGTTGTTGGACCTCGCGACGTGCTTTTGCCACGCGCCAACAAACGACGCGGAAGCCGAAAAGATGCTGCGCGACCGCTTCCTCCTCGTCCAGCGTGTCGAGCGCGAGAAGTTTGCCACACATTTGGACGCTGTGCTGCTCGATCAGCAGTCGACCAGACAGGCCTCCGACGTGGTGGCCTGATAATTAGTTGCAAGTTGATCGTCTCTCGTCGTTGGCAGTTGGAGGCATGTGTATGTAGTATTATAGAAAGAGTACTAGCAAGAAGCTTCGGAAAAATAATCTTTTTTTAAGAATCCCGTCAATCCACCCCAACCAATCCCACTAGTACATGTATGTTGAAGTGGGTACACTACATCGCAACCGCTATCGGATATTTTGCGAACCGTGTGTGAGAGCCAGCGCGGACCATGGATCTGAATATGCAAAAGCAGTTGAAGACGACGGGCCGTTTTTGGTTTTGACGAGTATCTTTTCCCTTCGAAATCGTGCGACGCACACCAGCGCGCGGTGTCGAGTGGGAAGAGAGATGACCTCTCGCCATCGCTGCTGTTGTTGCCGCAAGTGCTCTCGGGTGGGATGATCGACAAAAGTTCCAAAGCTGTCGTAGCATTTGGTAAAGGTGCCATGGGACTCAAAACGATATCTTATGTGCCAAGCATTGCACGGGATCAGGTGGACTGGTCCAGCACGAAGGGCTTGTCCTTGACGCGGCACGGGTATGTTCGTCATCTATGTACGAGATTGATTCCTCTTGGTGGCACGGTAAGCAGGCGTAGTATGTGTTGCATCAACGTAGAGTATGCTTGGGTTGGTGTGCGGTCGACGGCGCGCATCGAGCAGATGGCAGCCCTACGAAATCGACTCAACGGACCAAAGAAGGTGATGGCGGTACGGCGCACCGCGTGTCCCAGCGCTCGAAGTCTCGGAGCGCACTCGCTGTTCCTGTGGCGTCCATTGTGTTCCAAGACATCGGTAATACCCAAGCACTCCCGAGAGCTTTAACCTCGTCGTCTTGCGGCGCTGGGTTCAGCACGCAGCGACGCGGGCTCGCGACAGCCCCTCGTGGCAATATTCAGCGGTCCGACAGGCGCACCGAGTGCGTCTTTGTTTCAATCCTCCCAGTCTTTACTTGAAAAATGTATTGGAATTATACTGCTTTGTATTTAATTGGAGCAAAGTTACATGGGAATGAGTCGACGACTAGTAGATGGCGACGAGATGATTTATTGCTAGTAGCTCCTGCCGTGCGTAGCAATAGATGGATCCATGGAAGCTCGATCCACCACAAAAGTGCAATCTCAGAAAGGCCAGTTTTGGTCGCTGGTCAACGCGATCGCCGTTGGGATCAGCCATGAGATAATCTTATTGCTATCTTATTTCGCTCGCTATGCCCGCGGTCGAAGGTGCCGACTTCTTCTGCGCCTCATTCAGGTAGAGTAGCAGGATGCACACCTGTTGTGCTTCGTTCAGCGCTACGCTGCGCGAGTCCATTGCCGAGGAAGCCGCTGCACCCACTTGGTCGCGGAGATTATAACAAAGCTACTTGCGTATCTAACTGTGCCGTACCCAGTTATACCGACGTTTGACGTCGGGATTTGCAGGTTATAACGCCATGGCCACCACGTGGCCCCCGGCGTAACCCACTTTGGCATGTGTCATCAATAAAACCCACGAAACCAGGTGGTGCAATTCTGATGCCGAGAACGGCAGATGCCATTTGTCGGCAGAACCCAACTTGATCATGGTCGCCGAGGTCCCGCTCACTCCGCCGACGCTCCTCCTCTCGACAACGACCCACAAGGGCCACTGTGACGGCGTCGAGTCCAGCAACGCATCCGTTCGGGCTGCGTCGCCGCTCAAGCCGCGCCGCCCGGACCGGCCCCTCAAGGTCTCGACGTCCACGACCGTCAAATGCAAACGCGTGCAGGAGCTGCAGTACCTCCATCGGCACATTGAGGAGCTCGAAGAGACGCTTCGCCGGTGCCAGCGCCCGTATACGCCCATGATGCTGCCATGGAAGGAGGTGAGCGCCGGTCTTGCCCACGATACGCTCGTGCACATTCGTGAGAACCGGTGCCTCAAGAAGGAGGTCGAGAGCAAGAAAAAGATGATCGCGTACCTTAAGGCCTGGATGCAAAGCGTCAACGTCGCCACGGTAGGCCATCTATTCGCTTCTGCATCATAAGCTCATGACGCAAGCAGCACTCGCCGAGCCCGTTTGTCGAGACGTGGCGCCACTCGGAGCTCCTCGCCGGCGACGAAGCCTTCCGCAAGCAAGCGTACTCGTGGATCATGCAGCAGGTGTACCACAACACGGACCGCGCGCTCTCAACATTGCATTTTCCGGACGCGGAGGCCGGCGACTTTATCGACGTCCATGTCGTGCCGGACGAGAACAACCGGCTTGAGATCCACGTCATGAGCCAGCGCCTCTTGCCGTATGCCCTGCCAATGGCCTCGGAAGGCGCGTGGATCGCCGACAAGACGTTTTATGAGTTTAACCGCGACGGCGACACGTTCCGTGAAGAGCTCGATCTGGTCAACCGCGATCTCGAGTACGTCAAGGAAGACATTGGGCCGATTCAAAAAATGATCGTCGACAATGCGCTCTACAGCCGGTTTGAAGAAGAAAACCGAACGGTTATGGTGCTGCGCTCGATCCTCAACGACGAAGCGTACCCGCTCGATGCGACGACGTGGACGGTCGACGTCAAGCAATGGTACGTCCTTATTTGCCGTCTGAAGGTGCAACGTCTGATTGTGCGCTTTAGGATGGTGCTGGACGCGATGGACGGCGAGACGACGCGGTGTCGAACGTACTACATCATGAAGCACCCGACCACGACGGGCGGCGGCTACGTCTCGATCGAAGAGTTTGCCGCGTGCTTTGATCTGTACACACCGGGCGACGACGAGGTCGCGCTCATGCGCAAGCTCGGCGCGCGCTTTGAAGAGAAGCAGCGCATTGAGCGCCAGAAGTTTGCCACTCACATGGACGCCGTGCTCCAGCGACTCGAGACGCTCGAGATGCTCGACGCACTCCAAGGCGAGGACGAAAGGACCCTCTAAGAGCTTATGTAGTAGTCGACTATTCTATTGTATCATAAATAATGTCACGACGCATGAAGTAGTGATTGCTTGCGACGGCGTGGACGCAAATCAACGATTGCTTGCTCGAGATCCGTAAGCACGGTGGAAAATGAAGGGTTGTGGTGCGCAACGCAGTGGGATCCGGCGCGGGCAGCTGGACAGACCATGTTCGATGGCTCGTCGCCCAGAGACATGGGGCTGGTCGCTGCAGTGTAGTACACATAGCCTTTGTCGAGGCTTTGTCCCAGGCGTCCCTTGGTACGACGCTGACGCGACAACTGCATTCAGCATCGCCGTCACGGTGCCACGGCCTTCGATGAATTTGGCGCAGCATGATTGGCCGACGCGTACTTCAAGTGACGTTTTATTGGCTACAATTGATGGCGTGGACCAATGCGAATGCGCAGAGGCAGCGATTTTTCTCGGCAAGATTTGACCCAGCGCCGAGTGGGGCATTGTAGCCAATGAACTATCGAGATCACGAGTTTATATCATGTGATTGGCGCAAATGAGATATCCCGGTGGAATATTCACGCGAAGCACAACGAAGGTCCGCTGCACAACGACGGTCGACGGCTCATCCTGCAAATGGCCGCCAAGACAGCCGTCGCTACGTTCGCCGCTGGCTGCTTCTGGGGCGTCCAGCTCCACTTTCAACGCATGCAAGGCGTCGTGGGCACAAGCGTCGGCTACACCAACGGACACGTGTCCAACCCAACGTACGAGCAGGTGTGCGCGGGCACGACGGGCCACGCCGAGGCCATTCGCATCCAGTTTGACCCGAGCGTCGTGTCGTACGACGAGCTCCTCAACAAGTTTTGGTCAATCCACGACCCAACGACGCGCAACCGACAAAAGCTCGACTTTGGCACGCAGTACCGGTCCGGGATTTACTACCACTCGGACGCCCAGCGCGCGGCCGCCGAGGCCTCCAAAGCTGCTCATGTCGTTCCGTGGAGCCTTCTCGGGGTCTTTTTTGGCAACAAGATCGTCACCGAGATCGAGCCCGCGGGCACGTTCTACCCTGCCGAAGAGTACCACCAGCGATACCTTGAAAAAGGCGGGCAGTGCGCACGTGTCGGTGCGACCGACGACGTCCGATGCTATGGCTAAAATACGATTGCACCTCACTACACTCGTATATCACAATCGCTGTTGATCAAAGCACACATGCACATGTCAACACGGACACGTACACTACTCAATCGATGGTACGACGGACGGCGGCGGCAGACTGTGTAGAACGTGGTCGAGGTAGGCTGCAAACTGCAGTCGCTGGTCGAAATGCCGACGGCGAAAGCACTCGCGTAGCTTGTGCCGGAACCGAGCGTCGTCTTCGTTGCCGTCGCAGCCAAAGAGACGCCCGACGTCGGACAGCGGTACTTGGTCGCCGGACGGTGTCCGCGGATGGCCCATTTGAAATGAGACGCGGCAGCGCGTCGTCGACGCGTCCACGGCCTCGGCCACCATCCTAGCACCAGAAGAATGAGCCGCTTGCAATACGAAAGCTTGATATGTGTGCACCATTGCTTGGTGTCGACGCTCCACACGTAGCCCTTGGTCGGGTACGCGGCGTCCGATATGATGGAGCGCATGACAATGACGGACCGACTCGGCTCGTCAAAGCGCCCGTACAGCATATTGTCGCCGATCGTGTCGTCTTCGGGGCCAATGCTGTCATGGAGGTAGACGATGCTGCGCGCGTGTGCTTCGTCCAGCTGCTTAAAGTCTCGCTGCAGCGCATGTGCCACAAACGTCAAGTCGGCGTGCCAGAACGCCAGTGTCGCCTGCGCCAACGAGCACGGCAAGAGGCTCTGCGTCACGACTTGGATACTCAGCGGCCCGTCGTCGAGGTTGACGTCAATCGCGACGTCAAACGCGCTGTCGACATTGGTCAAGCGCTCGCAGACGCGCGCCATGGCGCTGTCCGTGCTGCCATGAAGCTGCTGGAGGACCCATTCGTAGGCCACTTGGCGAGAGGACGCGTCGCCTTCAATGAGGCAGGCATCGCGCCACGAGCTTTGCGACGAGAGCGACTACATCGCGTGCTCATCGAGACAAGTCAAGTCGAGCGTTGCTACCTTTGGCGGGACCATCGTGAGCATCCACTCACGCAGAAAGCGAGCGAGGCGTGCATGGTACGCGCACTCTTTCTTGAGGCTGCGGTTCGTGCGCACCTGCGCGAGCGTGTCGTCCGCCATCGCGCCAGCCACGTCTTCCCACGAGAGGATCATGATGTGCGCGCGCTTGATGCGCCGGAGCTCGGCCTCGAGCGCATAGACCTGCTCGCGTAGCCGGTCGAGATGGAACTTGCGTCGCACCTTGGGCTTCCGCGCCATTACCCTTGCTGGAAACGCGATGCTTCGAAGTGCGATCGCGTGGCGAAGCGAGCGCCTTGCATCCCACTCGAAGCTGCCCGATCGAAGTTTGAGGTTGACCGTGTCTTTGAATCGCATGCATGACCAGAAAATGAGCTCGAGTTGGCGTGCGCGATGTACACCGTGTTGACTACGTCAACAAGCGCAGGCTGCCAGGTAATAGCTGCGGATTGTTCGCGCGTACTACGTAGCAGCCGCTCCGGTTTGCGCGCAACCGATCCCGGTTTGTGCAAGGTAACTACACGACCCGGCACCTGTTGTCGGCCCGTGACATCTGATTGCAGAATCAATGGTCGAGTTCGAGCCCACGAATTCTAGTAGTACTCTAGTCAGCGATGTGAGAAGGCACGGCCGGGTACTGGGTACTAGCATGGGGTACTAGTAGTCGTCGCCCATTTGACGCGACATAAGTCGCAACCGTCGAGTGGCCATGGACACGGGATTTCATATCATCCGACAAGCGTCAGCGCAAAGCGAGGGGCTGCAAAGCGAGGGGCTGCAAAGGGAGAGCAGCAGACGTAGTGTAGCA